AGGGACAAGGACTGGGGAAGGGGACAAGGGACAGGGAGGAGGGACAAGGGACAGGGAGAGGGGACAAGGGACAGGGAGGGGGGACAAGGGACAGGGAGAGGAGCTGGAGAGAAGGACAAAGGAGCAGGGTTTGGGAGGAGGGGACAAGGGAGGGGGGAGAAGGGGCAGAGGGGTGGGTGTGCTGTGTCCCTGCATGGCACGGGGACGTGTCCCCATCGCTGTCACTTACCCAAAGCCTGGGGGTGTCCCCAGCCCCCCTGTCACCTCACCCCGAGGGCTCTGGCCCCACAGCTGTCACGAGTTGGGCCAGGGACGTGCTCAGCCTGGGGCAGCCCCCATCCCCAGTTGGGGTGTCCGGGGGTACCAGCACCCCCTCCTTTTGTCCCCCCCCACTGTCACACACAGGCACAGGGTGGGTCCGCAGGGGGGTTTATTGTCTGGGGAATGAGGGCCCGGAGGGGACAAGGTCCCCTGGTGGCTCCATCTGCTGTGGCACAAGGGGACAGCAAAGCCCCTGGTGGCTGCTGGTGCCACCAAAGCCCCTGATGTCCCTCCTGTGTCCGTGTCCCTTGTCCTGAGAGGGTCTGGCATCCCCCCTTGTGCCCCCCAGCAAGAGGTGACAGAGCAGGGGAAGGTGATTGATCCCCAAAGGGAGAAGGAAGCGGATGAGTCTTTGTCCCCTTCCCGTGGGGGACACGGGAGCCAGAGCCTGGGGACCCTCTGGCAGGGGGAAGGGGCTCCCAAGGGACCCCTCCAAGGAGGAATGTGGAGCTGGAGCCGGGATGGGGGGGTCGGGACCAGGGCTGGGGAGGGTCCTGGGGGTGGGAGACATCAAGGCTGGGATGGCTGGAGGCATCTGGGGAGGGAAAGGGGAGATGTTGGGGGGCTGAGGGGAGCAGGGAAGGGGGAGACCCAGGTGGGGAACACGGAGCTGAAACCCAGAGCCCCAAACCCTGCAGACCCCCAAAGACAGACCCCCAAGTCCTGCAGACCCCCCAACACTGCAGGTCCCAAACCCTGCAGACCCCTGAGCACCCTACACCCCAAACCCTGCAAACCCCCCAACACTGCAGACCCCAAGCCCTGCAGACCCCCAAAGACAGAC